CTAAGTCAATCCTTGGCAGCAAAAACCAGGGAGGGTCAGAGTTTCCTTCTCCTAGATGGGCTACCTTCCCAGGTTGACAAGCCCCGCCTGCCCCCCTAAAAGGTCCCAAATGCTGCAATTAAGATCTACCTGTTGGTTGTTCTCCTTCTTCAGAGCTCTGGTCAAATATCTCTTCCTTTTCTTCCAACCAGGAGATGAGATCAGGTTTAGGAACCGGAGGTCCTTCTGGAGAAGAATGAAAAAAGCCCACCACACACACCAAAGCTATTATTTCTGGCTTTCTTGAGGAACTTCAAACAGCCACTCTGAAACCACCCTGGCCACTGCCACTCCAGCACAATATTTGGGAAGGCAAGATCTTCTAACTGAGGGATTGAAGGGGAATCTGCTGCAGGCTTTCAGATTCTCTTGGACTCCAGTTCCCATCCGCACTGCAGCCAGCATGGGCAACAATCAGGGAAGATGGGGAGATGAGGGTCTTGCAGGTTCTGCAGGGCCAGGATGTTCCTCACCTTGAGAGTTAGAGAGATCTATCAATGGCTGTTAGCAATTATCTGCTACTTATTTTAGAGAGTGGTCTGTCCATCTGTTCTCTATAGGTTTGGACACCTCTCCAGATATTGGGGATTGAAGCTGGGATGTCCTGCCTCCAAAGCAGATGCTCTACCAGTGAGCTGTAGCCCTTCCTTATATCTCAACATAAAAGTAAAGGTAAAGGGACCCCTGACCATTAGGTCCAGTCGTGGCCGACTCTGGGGTTGCAGCGCTCATCTCGCTTTATTGGCTGAGGGAGCCGGCATACAGCTTCCAGGTCATGTGGCCAGCATGACTAAGCCGCTTCTGGCGAACCAGAGCAGCACACGGAAACGCCGTTTACCTTCCCGCCAGAGTGGTACCTATTTATCTACTTGCACTTTGACGTGCTTTAGAACTGCTAGGTTGGGCAGGAGCAGGGACCGAGCAACGGGAGCTCACCGCGTTGCGGGGATTCGAACCGCCGACCTTCTGATCGGCAAGTCCTAGGCTCTGTGGTTTAACCCACAGCACCACCTGCGTCCCTATGTGGTCAACATAGAATGGCTCAAAATAGAATCAGAGTTGGAAGGGACCCTGAGGATCATCTAATTCAACCCCCTTACAATATGCAGGAATATGCAGCCTGTCCCATATGGGGATTGAAGAAGAAGACGACGACTTTGGCTTTGATATCTCTCTTTATCACTCCCCTTCAGGAGTCTCAAAGCGGCTAACATTCTCCTTTCCCTTCCTCCCCCACAACAAACACTCTGTGAGGTGAGTGGGGCTGAGAGACTTCACAGAAGTGTGACTAGCCCAAGGTCACCTAGCAGCTGCATGTGGAAGAAGCTGGGACGCGAACCCGGTTCCCCAGATTACAAGTCTATCACTCTTAACCACTACACCACACTGGCTCTCAGCTCTAAACCAACTGAGCTATCCAGCTGACATATTTGAGAATGACTTCACCCAGAGACGTTGATAGAATTATAAGAGATGCTTGTCCCAAGCCAGACCCACTGGTCCACCTGTTTCAACACCGCCTACACTGACCGGCAGCAGCCTTTAAGGGTTTCAGGCAGGGAACATCCGCAGCCCAGAACTGAACCTGGGACCTTCTGCATGCAAGGCCCGATTCTCTGCCACAGGGGCTTGCAGGTCCTTCCTCAGTGTCCCTCCACCAAAGAGCGAAGGGATTCCTTACCCAGAGAGGCGACGTTCCCATAAGTTCTCCACCATGACATCCCTGTTAGAGGGCTCTCTGGTCTGGGTCCAGCAGGCCCCACTCCCCCTCCGTGAAATGCACAGCCACTTCCTCAAAGGTCACAGGCCCCTGGAAGGAAGTGGGGATGGCGGGAAGTCATTCTCACAAAGAGTCCCATGCAAGGTGGAAAACTTTCCACTTCCCTGTATCCCAGGATTGGGGAACCCAGTGCAATTTTTTCTATTAAAAAATGTTTAGGGGTAGTCTCATTTTGACTCAAGAAAATCACCATTTTATAGTTTCGAATCGGGGGGAAATAAAGACAGTAAATGGACAAAAAGTACAAAGAACATGCATTACTCATATTGAAATATTGCCACTCAACGAGACCAAACTTTCATCAGTAAAACACCACACATGCACATTCCATACTGCTTCACACATTAAATGCCCGCTTCTGTCTGAGACTCAGGAAACACTGGGAAAGGAAATGAAGCCGCTATCAGGCGTTAGCAGCAGAACTGACGATTCACCGTGCTAGAGAAGAAACTAAAAAATTAATTTTTTTTAGTATTTTCTGCCGTTAGATTCACAGAAAGTTTAGGGGCATGCATACCCCTGTGTACCCCCAGAAAAAAAAATCACTGGGGGAACCTAAGACTCAAGGGCCAAATGTGGACCTCCCAGGGTGTGTGTGTGCAACAAAAGGAAGTCCCTTTGAGGGTCTTTGGCCTCAACCTGATCGGGAACCCATAGTATTCTGTTTCCTATTCGGAGCACAAAAATGAAGATGAAGCCATGGACTTAGGTCTTCAGGCACAAGAAGGCTCTCCAACCTGCCAAAAGCAGACAACACGATTGGACAAGGACAGGTTATCCTCTCAACCACATTTAAAACGGGGGGCACTCGACTTCCTGTCATTATTTGGTGGTTTGCTTAGATAAGAAATAAACTCTAAAAATGTGTTGAGAGATGTAAAGAAGAAAAGGAAAGAAAGAAAAGGAAAAAGAAAAGAAAGAAAGAAAGAAAAGAAGGAAAGAAAACACAAAACATAACTTTTGATAAGCTGCGAACCCTTGTTCTGAGTGCACGAAAAATTTGTTAGAATATTTATTCAATTTGTAGGATAATAGACTATACAGAACTGGCAAAATTAAGAGAATCTAATGCTGTTTTAAGGAAGAACGGATGCCTTTTCAGACTATTATAAAGAAATATTATAGTATGATGAACGTGTGAGCAGGATTTGAGCTATGAGCTACAGAAGCAATTAGATTATTATACTGTAGTTATGATTTAATAATAGACGATAAAGTGCAAAAGGGGAGAAGCAAGCACATGGAAAATGGGGTGAGAAGTTGATAAAAGTAAGAGAAAGGATGAAATTTTGTTATGACTGTGTATGTTAAAAACACTGTAACTTAATAAAATGTAATCAAATAATAATAATTTGTACCGCCCTTCATCCAAAGATCACAGGGCGGTTCACAACATAAAAAGGTATTCTCATGTATGCAACTTAACAACATACTCCATTTATTCTAATTCAATCACTAAACTATATCTTTCACCTGGAATGAGGAGTGGCACTCAAAGTGAACAATTAATTGCTCAATTTTACCAGAACAAAGTGGTTGGGATGATCCCAATGACAAAACTATGCTTACTCTTCTGGATTAACACACGGTCTCTCTCCACTGTGCTAATGCTCAATGTTTCGTTAAGGATTTTCCATTAAAAGAGCAAAGGAAGGCATCGCTTTCCAGTCCATCGTGCTTGAACTGAAAGGCTTTCAGAAGTAAGGATA